ATGAAGGCATTCTGCTCAAATATTATTACTGCCTCATTCTCCAGGATAGCACTCTCTTGCTTTCATTTACATCCTATAAATTATACCTTGAGCTAAAGAAATTAGGAAATTTTTAATGTCAAGAAGTGCTTGATAATTTAATGAATGTATAAAGTAGGAACTCTTCAATATTTTTGCTAAGCACAGTGATTCAATATACATTTCTATATCACACTAGGATAAGTTTGTTACACTTGATTTAAAAAATCACTGAACTCAGATACAAAAGCAATCAAATAGAACCAAAAAAGCCAATCTCAATTTAGACTCCCAGTAACCTAGTTACCTCTAAATACTTAATGTTTCATTTCTCCTTTGCAAAACTTTTTTCAGCTTTTACATTTTTGGAGAGAATATTTTAACTATATTCACCTATGTTATATATACATAGATGGTCTATGTTTGCCTCTGCAATGAAGTGGAGCTTAAAAAATAGGATACACTTTCTTACTTTCACCAGCCCTCATACTTCTTTTCATTTACAGAAAATCTGCCTTTAACCAATGGCAGAATGACATTCTTCTCACACAAGAAGGAGATGGAGTCAAAGTCAATACTAGGGATCTGAAACATCTGTGGACCCTGGACGCTACAATGATAACTTATGGCTGAATGGACTTTCAAGTCCCAAACTCTGTCCTACACAGTTTGTAGGCTTGAGATATAAGGGAGAGATAATCCAGTCCAATGAAAAGGATTCCTAATGTTTGGTTTTAAATTGTTTTGTGTCTCCTCCCTCCTTTTTCTCTTCCCCCTCATCTACCTCTCCCTCTTCCTTCTCCTTCTGGTTAAGGACAAGGAATGGCCACCTGCCTTGGCTCACCCCTCCACCACTTTCCATCACCACCTCCTTCATTGTGAGGAACACAGAGATCTGCCTATTGATTACTTCCTACATTCTTTTCACTGACTTTTTCCTGCATCCATGATCCCAGTGACTGAGGTAGAAACATAACAGGGCAAGAGCTTTATCTCTCTTGGCCTTGTGTGAATTGTCATTAATTAGCAAAGGTTGTTTCTTCAGTTATCTATTCTTCTCTGATTGTGTAAAACAAGAGAAAATGCTAGCACTCAATTTAAACAGTCTCATTTTTCCTCTCAGAATTGACACTAAGGAAAATTTTTAGCACACTACTTCTCTGACACCTTATTCTCATACCCAAATGATCTTATTGACTTTAAAACCAATTTCTAAAGAAAGGTAAATGATACTTTCAGTCTCTCAACTGATGATAGAATATCTCTTCCAATTGCCCCTTAAGAAATCTGTTCAGCTACCAAATTACTTTATTTCATATCTCAAAACTTTCCTAGATACTCAGGTAAGTTTGCAAATAGGACATGACCACTCATGAGAATTTTCTTACCATACTGACATTTTTATATTCATAGATACAGCTAAGTATGTCAGATTTCTTTCTTGTTTTAAAATGCTGCAGTAGAGGAAAAAGGCTACAGTGGATACTCATACTCTAAAAAATGAAGTATTAACTCCAGCATGGCACAGAAAGCATATTTTTCCAGTGTCACTGAAACCTCCTTATCCACTGAGCTCTCCTCATACCAGCACACAGGCCACCACCAAACACCAACATCTCCATTCCTACACATATGTTCCCTCCTCCCCACCAATTTGAACATTCTTTCCTGTTGATCCTCCAAATTTCCTACAAGCATTGCCTCTTCTATAAAGATTACCCTCAGACACCATTAAATGGTTTTGACCATGTGGTAAGTGCAATGATCACAAGACTTAAGACTTAAGCATACCATAATTAATAAATTGCTTTTCTAATTAAAAAGCAGTAAATTATGGGAAGAACACCTTAATAACAAAAGCGATAAATTATTTTGAGAAAATAAATGAATGATTGTCATCCACTTTAACTTGCTAAATCAACATAGTATTTAAAGTCAAATAAATAGTAGTATAACATTCGTGTGCCTTAACAAATATTCTTCCAAGTCAGAATTCAAACCCAGAACCCAGAGCTGATAATTCTTCACACTGCCTAGCATTCTCGACATGTCCCTTATCATGGGACATTCAAGTCTGGGCCAAGCCTGATAAAGTCAGTCTTACTGAGGTAAAGTATTATACTTATGTATAACAATTCATAGTCAAACAATTCAAAGTTCCATTCCTAAAACAGCTCTTTTAATTTGAGGTCACATAATGAACCTGAAATATATATGAATATACACTTAAAACTTCTAGACAGTATTCTGCTGACTATATTCACACTAGCATTTTTTTTTCTGGTTTTTAGATTTAGTTTGCTTATTTTGCACTTCAATACATGAATACGTTATATTTCCAAGAAAATTTACTTCATATCTGTTGATATCCTAGTCTCTAGACTACAGTGTCATAAGTGGAATAAGTTTGTTCAGATCTTTATTAGATGTTGAAGGTATATTCTTATTTCATGTCTTACCTTCTGAGAAATGACCCTCAAATACAAGTTGAGTAGTTTTAATTCCATTTGAAAAAATGACAAGAAGAAAGTGGTCTTACCAAATTCAAAATTTTAGATTTACAAATAAACATCACTTTTACAGACATTTCAGATTTATAAAACCAAAACACAATTCTCTCTAAAATAATAACTGTTAAAAAACAAATATTCCTCTACATCTCATTCCCAATTCTATTGTCCTAGCTAATATCACTGGTAATACTTCTGATGTTGATTGTTACAGTATTATTTTGGCTGCAACACCATTATTTTAGTGGAAATACCACATGGATATTGAAACAATAGGACCTGGTAAATATTTCATAGCTGTTATCACATTGTTCTGGGAAATGTCATGAATAAGGTCAAATAGAAAATGGAACATCCCCAATATGTCATTAGAGGACATCAATGTCAGGATTCCTCCTCAGAATCCAGTCTAGATCAGGAGATTTAGAGGCCCTTACAAAGAAATAAGCATTTTTTAAAAATGGCATCTAGAAATTCTATAGTTGCATTCTATGCATTATATTGCATGAAGGATCCATGGAAACTAAGATTGGTTTTTCCTAATATTATAAATTCTTCTAAGATCAGTTTCTTAGAAAGCACAGTAGTTAATTCACAGCCAATGGTGAAATTTTGTAGGGAAAAACAGAATTATTGCATTCCAGGTATTAAACAAAGACAGTATCCTTGACTCTGAGGGAAAGCTAATTGTGTGGTAAAGTCATTTATAACTATGACAAGACACTCCAAAATCAATGTTATTAAATACCTTCTCCCTCCAAAATCTAAAATAGTAATTTTTAAAAGCTGATGATTATTGAAACTGAAATGTCATCAGTTTCTGCCTAGTTTTGTAATAAACTCCAGTAGCAGAACAGGTTAGAAATATTTAAATTCTGCTTGTTTTATCTGGCCCAACATTTAGACATTCCTTCCCTCAGAGCTAGGCTAACAGACTAAGCATTATCATTTCTTTTGGTTTTGGGGGTTTTGTTTAGTTTTTTTGAGGGAGTGGGGGTTGAACTCTGGACTTCACGATTGCAAAGCAGGCTCTCTACCACTTGATCTACACCTCCAGTCCAGACTAAGTGTTTTTTAAATATTCTGTGAGTCCATGTGAACCTAAGTATCAATTTTTACCTGTTCATTGTCCTAAAATATTTTCCTCTTTTTCTGATGCTGGAAGCAGATAGACTGCTAAATTTGTAATTAATACCCCTTCTTTATTTGTCCTCCCACCATGTAGCATCTAATTCCTAACTCTAAAACACCATCTTTCCACTTTCTTCCTAATTGCAATTTTCTTACTCAGTGTGCTTCCACTAAGAAAGCTAGAAATACTAAGTTTGGAAACAGGTGATACATAAGAAAAGCGCTTTTTTTTTTTTGTACAAAAGAAACTTTAGGAGGGTGACAATTTCAATAGAAGATTCAAAGTTGAAGCTGAAAATATGATGTCATAATATAACAATTCTAAAATTATTTATTTATGTGTTGATCCCTGAATGTCGTAGAACTGTAGTTCACATTTTATTTTTAAAATATTTCTGTCAGTGTAAGTGTGAACCTTTAATTTCAATTGTCAAAGCAAAATGCTAAGGAGTCTATGAAGATTATCTTATAAGGTAACAAACAGTCCAAGCCTCTGGAACCCTGGAAAGGTATGTCACACACCAAAAAAAAATATCTAGCATGAAAAGCATTCCAAAATAAAAGTGATGCATTAGCATAACAAGAATGCTTGCATCTTGCCTTAGTAACTAATGTCAGAAAAAGTGTGAACTCACATTTTGCAAGCCCAAGGAAACATCCCATCTTTGTTACATCTACACAGGTATTTCCGTGTTCTCCAGAGTGACTAGAATAGGCTACACGTTCTTGTAGAGTGCAAGCATTGTTGTCAACCTTGGTTTTTCAATCAAGTGACTTACATACATCTGAGCAAGTTTCCCAGTCTCTCATAGTATTTTTCAAATTCTGCACCACATGGACTAGAGCTGAGGTTGTATCTGCCTAATACAGAGCTTAACATGGAGAAAGCTACTATCTTTCCTTCTCTGAAGCTCCTCTTCTTTCTCTTTTTCAGATAAATTAAAATGTGGCAATCAAACATAGATCTTTGACATTTGAAGGGGATAGATCTGCAGAAATTTACCCATTCACAAGATTTAAAAAGGTTCTGATGATTTAAAAAGTTACACATTTATTACTATCTCTCCAGCACACCAGTCCCTAACATGTAATATTCACTTGTGCTACCCAAATTGAGTATTTTCTCATTAAATTTTCATGATGACCTCTTGATCACAGATGCTTCAGCTATTACTACTATTTCGTATTGTTTCAAATTGCTGCAAGTCAATGAACTTAAGGATAGTGTACAAATAGTCAACAATGTAAATATTAAATCTGTCAACGCTAATGGTGCGTCATTAGCATAATGGTGGTCCCTTCCAACCAGCAGCCCCCTTTGTCCCGGACCTGGCTGCCTACCTTCCTTGGCCCTTAGTGCAGTGGCTGCTGGGAGGCTCTGGGCACAGTACACCTTCCGGGTCTGGATCCCACCGCCGCAAACTGCTTCTGTCACATGCCAGTGGGGGTCCTGTTGCTCAGTGAGGAGAGAGACTTGGCATTCAGTCCATTCTGAAGTTTTCCAGGAATACCTGTTTTGTTTGATTTATTTAAAAGAAGAAGACGCAATAAGGAAAACATACAATTTTAAAGAAAACAAGTGATAGCATAAAATGAACATGAAAACCTCTTACCTCCACATTTTTGCCTGTGTGTAAACTCTACTGACTGAATTATGAAATACCCTTTACTTCTTAGAGAAAACCACAGCAATCCATGTCTTAACAGAGAGCACAGGATGACCAGATTGAAGGAAGGTAAAATGGATATGCCCTGGGTATGTCTCTACTGAGAAGCAGGAAGAATTAGAGGAAATCCAGTGAGCCTAATTTGTGCACTGAAATTGTTATTGGGTTTCACTTCACAGACTTCTAGATGACTTTGTGTGAAAGTTAGTCTTTCTTTTTTAACTAGCAGAATAGTGCATGAATGTGTAAAGTTGTGAATATATTATTTCAAATATCAGAGATCATTTCTAATACCTCAATTTCTTTATGTATGTAACTGTTTCAACCCATTTAACCTGCTGCCATTGAATAAAGGCATTTGTATTAAAATGAGTTAATACTCTACGTATCACTATATGTAACCAACGAATGCTTTTTACATATGTAACATTGCTGTTATTTAAACTGATTTAGGAATGTATCTCACTGGCCTATAACAAGTTTAGAGATATTCTAATATATACACAAACACATACACACAAATAAAGGAGAAAAACACAATGGAGTTTTTATACAACTTACAGGAAACAAAATAACTATCACATCACTATATCCATACCTACAGAATTGTCCCAGACATAATTTCCTTTTGTGGGTTATTACAGCATTCCTCAAGCCCACAGCATCCATATAACTCAACAGCATTCAAATAAATATCAACAGATCATTAACTTCTGGATCAGTAAAAAAAAGTCCAAGAACATTCTCTGTAGTATTTCAGATTTGAAGAAAAAAAATATCAAGTTTGTAACTGTGAAAAATAAAATTTAAAAAAACAACAAAAATAATCATGTCACAAGACCCCTGCACTACAGAAACTAGAGGAAAATTAAAATCAAGTAACATATACCAAAATAAGGATGCATATCTCTAGAAACCCAGTAGTAATCAAACCCCTCCTTCTAAAGCTGAGGATCATTAGTTCTGTAAAAAGTTCATTGTGGAAAATAGAATTAGACAATCCTTTGGGGCTTGGTAACACATTTTTCCTCCCTAAGTCTCACTATTTCATTTTCACATGGCTTTTAATGGCTTAAAAATTTATCTGTGGTGGGGAGGGGGAAAATTTATCTGTGGGCAAGGCAAGAGTTTAGAGTACAGAGTTCAAGTCCTCTCATTCCAGGTGAATATGGATAACATATTTCTAATCTCTGGGTGTGAGAGACTGAAAGAGATTCAGTTCTCCCCAGACACATCCTCTAAAGCTAGAGCTCTGAAGCTCTTCCTCTTCTCATGGAGTTCTTATCCTACTCTCCATAGCATTTAAGTGAAAGGCTGACCCTCTGTCTCTGAGTCTCGAGACACGAGTAGTTCTGTATTCAGAGCAAAATACAATGAACATGAGGCATATAGCGCTGGATGGTTACCAGTCTCTGATTTCAAATCCTCTTCTTCCAAGAGTCCCCTAAAGGAAGAACTGCCTGGCTGATTAGAAGGCAGATACAGCAGCTGACTCAAAGGCTCCTATGAAATAGTCAACAAGTAAGAAGGCAAAAAGGACATTGTATGGAGCAGATGAGAAGCATGTATAGAATTAAACCAGCCTGACTTGAATAAGAGCCTTGCCACCTACTAGTCATTTGACTTTGTCCCTGATTTTGTTTATCCATTTCTAAGATAGATACAATAATACAAATAATAAATATTTACTAAATGTTAATTCTTTTTCTTCTTATGTCCTTCTACATGTGCCATGTGCCCCTTACTGAGTCAAAAACACACATACACAATTAGCTTTTTATTTATGAGCATTTCATCAAAAGTCCTAACACTAGAGATCAAGGATTACATAAGTTCTAACAACAGAAGTTCAAAAAATAGCATTAAAATCACAAAGTGTAGAGTTATAGGAATCCACAGTAATTTACTTGTTTGTTTGAAAGGAATAAGCCATCGTGTAAGAATTGCTTTTTCTAATTAATTTATGATGCCCCTATAAGAATTAGCAATGGAGAAATTTTGAAAGTCATCAGAAAGAAAAATGAAAAGGAGAGTTTAATGACTATGGTTTTACATAAAGTAACAAAAACAACTCTATTGGTAGCTCATTAACTAAAAAAACCCAACTTCCATTCACTGGCAATTGACAAAATCTCTAAAGAAATACAGGACATTTATCACTATCACTATTGTTTACCACCACAGAGGAAATACCAACCCAGCAAGAGGCAGAGAAAAAACCATCCCAGTAAAGGACTTCTATGCTCCTTTTCTAATGCTTATCTTTTCATAGTCCTTGCTCATCCTCTTTTTACTTTATGTTTTTCAAAAGCCCCATCTATGCTTTGTCACAAATCACCCACCAGCCATGAAAACTGAATGTTCTGAACTCCACTAACCTGAGAGAGTATCTTTAGGATCTGACAGAATAAGAAATCAAAGGAGTTCACTCAGCTAAACGTTCTTCCCTTGCTCTTTTAGAAGTGGTTACAGTGATAGTTCTCCCGCTTTGGGAAAAGTTGATTTCCTGGTGCCCGGGACACTCTTTGTGACTGAGGCTATGTCAAAGACCAGGCCTTTCCAATCCCTGTCTCCCAACTCCAATGCCTTTCAACTCATTCTCATTTTGTCCTCGAGTGTGGGGAGTTTCAAAGACCAGATTCCTACCTGCATGAGTGACCAACACATGAAATCAGTTGTAGAAATACCTCAAGTAGAATATCTAAACATGAAATAAAAGAATCAATTTTCATAGCCCCCTACCCTTGAAAGTGTGTATGATCAATTTGCTTCTTACTATGTGTCCTGTGGAACAGAATAAACATGGCATTAATTTATTTGTGTTGTCAGAATATCGTGACAGATCTCTTAAGTAATAAGAAAGCAACTGCATTGATGCATTTGGGTACATTACATAAATTCTTCTCAACACCTACAATAATTCCCCCTTTTCAAATGAGAAAATTGGCATAGCAAGTAAGTAACTCTTCCAAGGTCACATTAAGTAAATGGAAGAGTAAGATCCAAAGTCAGGTATGTATGACTCTATTAAAACTATGAATAAAAGACCCATAAAGTTCAATCCAGTGAAATTGAATGCAAGTTTACTAAATAACATGTAGGTACCTTCTCACTATTACAGGGACAAGCTAGTTTTGTACTGGTTAAGAGAAAGTATATTCTGGAGAAAAACAAAAAGATATTCTCTATTTGTAATAATAATATCATCAGTGACAACTGACCAATAGCATTTCATGCTGCCAAAATAATTGTTCTTCTAGTCTTGCTTGTAGTTTAACAATATCTTACAAAATAACAATCATTTTATAATTACAGCTCTGTGGGCACATAGGGCAAAAATTTAGCATTTTCAGGAGATAACAGCAAATTTAAAAGAGAATGAAATATAATCCAAATAAAGACATCTCTCACTGTGAAAATTCAAATTCTTACTAATAGGTGCAGCAGACAACTCTCTAAAAGAAAGTACCTTTTTAAAGCCCTGAAATTAAATATTGCATATTGCTCCCTGATCACAGTAAATGTTAGGTAATCTTGCCATCCATTCACATGAGAACCACTCTGATGTCCATGCCATTAGTAAGTGAGTACACTGTTAACCTCTCTGAAGCATAAACTTCTGAGAAGGGAAATACTAATAACTCAAACACTGAATCTACAGGAAAGACAGTGCCTACAAGTTCATTTTAGTTAAGATAAAGTTATGCATTGGAGAATGAAACTAGCAAAGAGTTAACAAGCAATCTCCACTAGAAGAACTAGGCCTGCCCAAATAAGTAGTGAATCACTCAGTCATCCATGTGTTCACTCATCTTTTCTTTCAATAAGTAAATATTGAGTTCTATGTGCTAAGGCTGATTTTAAGCAATGCAGATGCACAACAGTGAGGGTGAAAAGACCTAATCTTGAGAAGGTTATCTTCTAATGAGAAAGACAGACAGACACGTATCAATATCCAGCATGGCGTCAGATAACATGAGGAAGAGAGAAATATACATAGAGAGTTATTTCAGCACCACGCCAAGGAAAGTTCCTCGGAGTCCTGAATAAAATGCAGCAGTGAGCACAAGACTAGTAGACAGGAAATGTTTTAAGCAGTCAGCACATTCAAAGACCCAGATGGGAGAGTGCTTGGCCTTGTTTAGGAATGGCACAGAAGCCAGAATGGAGGGGAAAGTGGCTCTGGATAGAACAGCAAGATAGGAAATGATGTAAGTTAAGAACCAGCTGTAGAGAGAACCTTGTAGGCTAAAGTAAGAATTGTGTCTTTCCAAAAATGATGTAAAATCATGGAAAGTTTTGGAAAGTGTGGAAACTTGATGCTATGATCTAAGTGTTTAAAGGGCCACTCTGGCATCTGAGTGGAGAATGAGGTTGGGGTAGAAGGAGCAAGAGAAGTTTGGAGGCCTTTGCCAGTCTAAGTGAGATGATAGTGGTTTCAATTGCATCAGCCATAGTGACTGCAGTAAGAAGTGGTTAGATTTTGAATATACTTTGAAGGTGGAGGCAACCTTCTAATGGATTAAAAAATGGGGTGAGAAAGAAGAAGGGGTGATGAAGGATTCCATTCCTTTTGTTTTTGCCCCACAAATTAGCAACAGAATTTCTTGGCGCTGAATATTTAGTTGATAGGGCCCAAGAAAGAGGACAAAAATCTCAAATATCAGGATGAACCAACCATGTACTATAATTATGCAATTAAGATTTTTTTCATGTACCTTATAGACCCTATCTTTGATTTTTTTTCTCCCATACCTAAGGCCTATTGTCCAATTGTTTTCATATTTCTCCCATAACTTAAGTTTATTCTTAGGAAACTGCCAATATATGTATCTCCATGAGGT